TTGTGATGTCTTTTCACGTTTTTTTTGCCTTATATATTTGATTTTTAATTATTTTCTGTGAATGTCCCACTATATATATTTATTTTTAAATTTAATTTTTTATTTCTTCTGCATTTAGTAAATTTATAAAAAATAAATGTTTAAGCCGCGCGAAGCGCGGGCAAATTCACTAGTTGTAAAATAAATCCGATTCTTCTTTTACATAATATGATCAGTTTAGGTTCAACTATATAGATGCGTTTCAAGTAGTTTTATTGCCGCTGGTGAACTCTAAGGGGTCGTTTGGTAGGGTGTATAAGAATTATATTGAATAGAGTTTATTAGTAGACTACTTCTTATCGACTATATAGTTCAATGTATTAAAACTAACATGTGTTGCATAATTTTTGTAAAAAAATTTATTTGTTTACAAAAATACCCTCCACAAACATTGAAAAGGATTTGGAAAAGGTTTTAAAAGGGTAGTTTTATCTTTATACATGCTTATCTATGTATTAAAAAATATGGCATTGCTAACACCGTGATTTACTATGTATAAGAATAGTGAATATCTGTATAAATAATATAGGTATTAGTAATACATTGATAACAAAACACTATCAAATAAAGAATTAATAAGGCAAAATACATAGTCTACCCATCAACCTTGCAGCAAAATCTCTGTTACACATCTCTTCTTCACGAGACCTTTTACACACTCAACCTTTCAAAAGTGTGTCTAAGAAACATACTTTGGACCAGATAACACTTGCGTATTTACACACAAAAAAGCGTGTGAAGCCGTAAAAAATCTCATTTTTTATCTCCCCTCCCCACAGGAACCCCCTCCCCCTCCATTTAGTCTTCTTCCTCAGATCACCCTCCCCCTCATCTTTTTCCCCAAATAGAATTTTTGAAAGAATATAAAATTTAAGATCTAAAATTAAGTGGTTTTCAATGGTTTATTGTCCAAATATTGTGAAAATTATTTATTTGTGATAGATTTAAAAGCTTTTAACAGTAGTATTCAAGGTCTGGTTAAAGAAATCTACAACCCACCATTGTTGGGGTATCGAAAAAATCTTGAAAATTCAATTGGGTCTTGTTGATTATTGGGTTGTTGAACTCAATTTGTTGCTCGATTTTTTTCGGTGTGTTGTTTAGATAGTGTGATTAAATTTTGGTGTAGTTGGAAACTTTCTCATAAACAACCATGGTGGCATCAACAATGACGCTTAAGATAGAAAATAGGAAGATGAAGAAGATGGATTTTAATTATAATTTTTAATATTTTTTCCCTTTTTAAAGTCAATGACACGTGTCACGACCCTATTAGGGTGTGACTTTCACGTTAGTTGAAAAATTGGCCAAGCACAAAGTAGTGTGTCTTAGACACACTTTTAAAAGGTTGAGTATGTAAAAGATTTTCCGTGAACAAAAGGTGTGTTACAGGGATTTCGCTGTAAGGTTGATGAGTAAAATATGTATTTTCCCAATTAATAATACCAAAGTTAATACACATATTATTTTCCCTGATACATCCTACCAAATGACCCCTAACTTGGAATATTGTAGGATTTTGAATTGTGTCTTGTAGAGTGAGAAATGCCATAGGTCAGAAGGGTGAATAGTTGTTCTCAAAACGGCAAAGGGTCTGATATGCCCCTCTACTATGTCACGACCCAAACCCCGGTCGTGATGGTGCCCAACACATTGCTAGGCAAGCCCGACCATTTCCACAACCTTAGCCAATTAATCTAGATAGATAAATAAATATTCACTACTAAAATACCAATTTAATGCGGAACTTCTGAAATAATCTCTAACATTCGAAAATCCCAAAATAAAAACAAAATACTAATCAGCCCACAGAATCTGGTGTCACGAACATGAGCCTCTAATACAAAATATTCACCTAATCACAAGTCTGTCTAGGAAAGAAAATACGAATAAAAGGATAAAGATAGATGGGAGAGATCAAGGCTGCGAACGCCATGCAGCTACCTCGATACTCCCGGATAAACGCTGCTCAGCCAACAAGTCCTCACTCACCCTGTGGTGTACCTGAATCTGCATACAAGGTGCAGGGAGTATTGTGAGTACTTCCAACCCAGAAAGTAATAAATATAAATAATGTCTGAGGATAATAAATCCCAAATAAACACAAGGTAAAGCTATAAATACAGTAAAACAGCGAGGACAATTATAATAATACCACAACAGATAAAGAATAAATGACAATTAAATTATGCAATGCAACACATAAACCGGTACTCTCCAGTACCCCGCTGCGGCCGTGCAGCCCGCTCCATTTATTTAATGTCGACGGCGCTCACTGGGGGTGTGCAGACTCCAGGAGGGGCCCCTTACGGCCCAAGCGCAATATAAGTCATATCGCGGCATCAAACAGGCCCTCGGCCTGATATCAATATCAATATCATACCACTGCGGCGTGCAGTCCGATCCCATACTCAGTCCAAAATCACATAAGCCTTTCGGCAAAATACTATAAAAATATTCAGCCCAAACTTCATTTAAAAATATTACTTTAGTTTCTACTTTTAGAAAAATGGCTGAGTTTACAAAAACAGTGTTAAATACCAGGACTGAGTTCAATATCTAGGAATACGGTAAGAAACCAGTAAAAATAACCCCTGAAGGATTCAAGTAGTTGGCACGAAGCCCAATTATGACAATTAATCCATTTTTATAAGGATATCACAAAACTATAATCAATTAGATAGTAATTTTATTAAGCGGGACGGACCAAGTCACAATCCCCGACGGTGCTCTACCCCACGCCCGTTATCCGGCGTGCAAGTCACCTCACATAGCACTACGATGTGCAAATTCGGGGTTTCAAACCCTCAACACAGCATTTACATTTATTACTAACCTCAAGCCGGCCAAAGTCCTAGCTTGCTATGCCCTTGCCTTTCGAATTCACCTCTTCGTGCGTCGAATCTGACCAAAACCACAACGAATACGTCACAATATGCTAAGGGAATATAACCCAATCGAAAAGTCTCGAAAAACATCGAAAATCACGAAGTTGGCAAAACCCGAGCCCTGGGCCCACTTCTCGAAAAATTATAAATTTCACATCACCAGATTCCTTATCTCGCCACGAGTCCATGCATATACAGAACACCAAAATCGGAGTCCAAATGACCCCTCAAATTCCCATTTTTGTTCTCTTAGGTTTCAAGCCCTACACCACCATTTTTTACCTTAATTCCTTGAGTTTTCAGTGTAATTTCATGTATTTGCATGATAAAATTGTGTTCTAAGTCCAAGAATACTTACCTGATCGAAGTCCTTGAATTTCTTCTTCAAAATCGCTCAAGAACACCCAAGTCCGAAGTTAAAAATATGTTTCTGTAAAACTTCGCGAAGGGATTAAAATCCACTTCTGATTAGTTATTTCCGCTTCTGCGGTGCCTTTGTCGCTTCTGCGACTACCGCATCTGCGGTCACTTTCTGCTTCTGCGGAATCTCACTTATTGCCTTGGACCGCTTTTGCGGTCACTAACCGCTTCTGCGGAAGCCGCTTATGCGGGAAATAGTCCGCTCCTGCGAAAATCTCCAAAATGCCCAACCTCGCTTCTGCGACTCCTCATGCGCTTCTGCGGAACCGCTTCTGCGGTCCATTTCCACAGAAGCAAAAATACTAGATACCAGACCACTCAGCCGTCCTTAAACTCCAAATTTCATCCCGTTAGCCATCCGAAATCACCCCGAGGCCCCCGGGACCTCAACCAAAAATACAAACATGATCCAATATCTTATTCAAACTTGCTCCAATCATCAAAACACCTCAAACAACACTAAAACCATCGTTTCTCATCGAATTCAAGCCTAAGTTCTTCCGAAACACGCATTCGATCAAAAATCCAACCAAAACACCTCCGAATGACCTGAAATTTTGCACACACATCCCAAATCACCTAACGAAGCTACTGCAACTCTCGGAATTCCATTCCGGGAAATAGAAAATGGGGAAAACGGGGCGGTAACACACGTGACAACGGGTCGGGTCGTCACATACTATCAGCTATAGTTTAAAAGTCCTCCGTTATACTATTAGGACATCCTAACCCCTGACGTTATACTATTATACATATATGCCCTTATTTTAACGGAAAGGCCACGTGGCAAGATTAAACCCATCCGGTTAAATTTTTAATGGGTCCGACCCAACCCATTACCCAACCCATCAATACCCTTCTCTAAAATATGGTCTGTCACCGACTCTGTCACTGATATTTGGTTAATTTTCCCCTTTTCTTTTCACCCCCTCGAACCTCTAAGTGACTGGCGTTACTGTTGACTCCAATCTACCGATTTTATATGATCTTGGTGTAAAGGTCAGTCGTTTCTTCATTATACTGGTTGATTTTAGTATTTGTTGATCGATTTTGCCGATTACTTGTTATACTATTCTTATTTTGTGGTCTAGGGTTTCGGTTTGGACAAGATCTAAGCTTTATCCTTCATTTTTATGTAAATACTTTATAGTTTTTCTTCTTGTAGTTATTGCATGTTTTAGTTTTGAGGTGGTCCCGATTTGTAGTTGTTGCATGTTGTTGGTATATATCAAGGTGGATTTATAGTCTTCTGGTTTAGGGTTTTATCTCAGAGGTAGTTTTTCTGCGATGTTGACTGAGATTCAGTGCTTTTTCTTTGTTTATTAGCTAAGGTGGTCCTAAATGTAGGACCCTTGAATGCAATTGCTTCATTAAACTATTTCGGTGGTTGGATTTTAGTGCACCTTTTCTCTCTTTGTCAATTTTTTATGAAGTGGTGGCCCATAAACTGAACTTTTTTTGTGGATCCTTTTGTACATGTTGTATTTCATTATTCATGCGACCCTATGTCTCACATGTCATTTTCTGCCTACTTTTATGCATCTTTTTTGACTTTGTACATTTTGTCCCACAACATTTTTATTCATTTTCTGCCTATTTTTTTTTACTATTTGATAACCATTCTTATTTACTATATTTACTAGGTTATTGGAGATGGTCTTAGTTGATTTAATATTCAATTATGAAGGTGCATGGGTTACACATCCTGAAGTTGGATACAGAAAGAATAAGCTGCACACTTGGTCAGGATATGATCCAGACTTGCTTTCTTATATAGATATAGAATCTGAAGTCATAGTTGAGCTAGGGTTTTTAGGGGTTCAACAACTTATAGTTGCTGGACCTTCTGGGAAATTGTATGAGGTTAAAGGGGATGTGAGAATTAGAAAGTTGACATCCTTACTTTCTAATGAATATAATGTAGTGAACCTATGTGATGTGGATGAATCTTACCCTCTTATTGAGTGTATTCCCAATATTGTTGATTATAGTGAATCATTTCAGATTTTAGATGAAGCTGGTACTGACTGTACCTTAAGTGAAATAGGTTCCGACTCTAGTTCTGATTCTAAGGGATGTGATTCTGAAGAATTACATTTACTCAAAACTCAAAAAAAAAGAGACATAACTGAGAATCTAAATGATTACAAGGAGATATATAAAGGCATGGACTTTAAGGATATACCATAAGCTAGGAAGTTTAAGAAATTGTATGCTCTAGCCAACAAGAAAGCCTTAAAATTGAGGAAGAGTGACAAAAGGAGGGTTAGGTATAGATGCATTGTGGGCTTCCCCTTTCTTTGTTTAATATCCAAAGATGGTAATGCAGGGGTTACTATAAAGACATTAGAGTCAGAACATAAAGGTGGCACTGCATATGATAATAGTACTGTTGATTTCAATACCATTGCACATTACTTTAAGGGAAAGCTACAGGATAATCCTAAGTATAAGGTAAGTGAGATGGTACTTGATTTGAAAATGATTTTTAAGTTAAATGTGAGTCATGGGAAGTGCAAGAGGGCAAAAATAATGATATTGGAGACCTCAGATGGGAGTTTTGCAGATCAATACAACAAACTTGATGCTTATGCCATTGAATTGAGGGAAAGTAATCCAGGTAGTGATGTAGTGATTAACATTTCAAAAAATGCACTAGAAAATGGGAAAAGAAGATTCTTGAGGATGTATGTTTGTTTCAAAGCTATGAAGATGTGGTTCAAGTTAGGGTTAAGACCATTTATTGGTGTAGATGGCACATTTCTAAAAGGGAAAGCCAAAGGTCAATTGCTAGTTGCTGTTGGACAGGATGCACAAAGCTATTTTTATCCATTGGCATGGGCAGTTGTTGATAAGGAAACAAAGCAGTCTTGGAACTGGTTCCTACAATTTCTTCAGGGATCTCTAGACCTTAAGGAAGGAGAAGGAATCACCTTCATGTCAGACATGCAAAAGGTAAGTTTTCTGAATTTTTACTTCTGAATCACCTTTATTCTGTCCAGTATCTACTTCTGTTTTTTTTCATTCTGTTGTCAACTGATTCTGTTCAGTATCTACTTCTATTTTTTTCTTTCTATTGTCAACTGATTCTGTCCAGTTTCTACTTCTCATTTTTTTCTTTCTGTCATTTACTTCTGCCCAGGGGTTAATTGAGGCAATTAAAACTATTCTACCATAAGCACATCATAGGTTTTGTGTTAGACATATCGAGGTTAACTGGTGCAAGACATACAATACTGGGGAATGTAAAAAACTGCTTTGATGGTGTTCATGGTGTACTTATGAAGAAGACTTCAAAGACCAACTAAGAAAGCTAGGAGAGTTGAACAAAGATGCAGCAGAGAGTTTATTGAAGTACCCACCACAGTCTTGGTGCAGAGCTTATCTAGATACAGTTTGCAAGAATCAGTCAGTTGACAACAATTTGACTGAATCATTCAATTCATGGATTCTGGAAGCAAGGCAAAAGCCAATCATTAAGATGTTGGAAGACATAAGACTCAAAGTTATGAACATGATGACAAAACATGAAGCTGAAGCTAGTACATGGAGCAATGAGTACAGTCCAAAGAGCCTAGAATTATACAATGAATTCATGGAGATTGCTCAAGTGTGTAAAGTTAATTCCAATGGAGAAGGAGGATATGAAGTTAGTGAAGGAGCTGACAAGCATTGTGTCAACTTAAGCATAAAGAAGTGCACATGCAGGGCATGGGACCTTACAGGAATCCCATGCCCTCATGCTATAAGAGCTAGTATTACTTCACAACAGGGGTAACCTTTGACAGAGATGCAACTGAGTGGCTACAGTAAGGAGGCATTTCTACTTACTTATACCACACAGCTCAACTGTTAGAGAAGAAATTTTTTGGAAAACATTTGACCCATCAAAAGCAATGGAGCCCCCAGAGTTGGTGAAGTTGGCCTTGGCAAGCAAAAGTTAAGAGGGTATGGCAAAAAGGATGATGGAGTTAAAAGTCAAGGAGTGTGGTCACCAGTCAGAAAAAGGTAGAGTCTGACTGTTTGGCAAATGTGGTCAACCAAACCATAATGCAGAACTTGTGATCAGGTAATCCTAATTGCTAACTTATTTATTGTTTCTCCAATCATGCTGAACTTAATTTATGTTCCTCTGATATGATGAACTTGTTTTTTTCAATAGCAACAATGGAAAGCAGGTAGCAAGCGGGAAACCACTTTAAAAAGACAAGAACTTTGTTGGATTACTGAAACAGAAGATAAATGTACATTGTTCAGCCACTACAAATGAACTTAACAAGTCAGAAAATGATTTACCTCATGCCTACACCATAGATTGGTCAATCAAGTTGACATAATGAAATTGTTTTGTGGTTAGCCAAAAGTTATATTCAGAAGCAATGAACAAACTCTTTAACTGAGCAGCACAGGTAAATTTACTAGTTGGGACTAGATCTATCAACTTTATTTGGTATCACACTGTGTGTAGTAGCTCACAGACCTTCCATTTCATTCACCAGCAGGCCTCATGTGGAAGCGGTAAAGCAGGTTACAACTTCAAATCAGTTAGAAAAAACAAAGCAACAGAAGCATTGAGGAGTTGAGATAAGAAAAGGAAAATGATCAGTTCTATGTTAGTTTTGTGTATATTTTCGGAATGTAACTACTGCAAAACTTTCATTGACAGTCTCCTGTTATTATGTTAATATTTTGCGATAGTTAATACTGCAATATTGATATCGTAATTCATGGACAGTCTCCTATTTTTGGTGATAATGTAATACTACATTTACTTCTGTTTTAACCTGTCCAGATTTTTGGTGATAACTGCCCCAATTTTTTCTGCATTAGGGTCTTTTTTAAATGTCCAGATTTTTGGTCATAACGTGCCCAATTTATTTTACATTAGGGTCTGTTTAACTGTCCAGATTTTTGGTCATAACTGCCCAGTTTTTCTGCATTAGGGGTCTATTTTTAACTTTCCAGATTTTGCTTCATAACCTGCCCATTTTTTCTGTTTTAAAACCAAGCTGACCAAAAGAATTCAATGCATTCATGAAAAAATCTACACCACATAATGCCATAGTGCTACTGCCACCAACATTAACTTCATTAAATGTCTGGATTCGTTACAAGTCTTGACCAACAGAAAACATCATACAATCTGAGATTTACAAACAATTAACTACATCAAAACCCTACTGCAGGAAACAAAAATGCCTGAATTCATTTCATCATCAATGTCACAACAAATCCGGACTAACAGGCAAATGAAACCATAATGAACATCTTCATGATATGCATCACTTTCACTTCCATCTTCCCTTAACTTTATTCACATTCAACATCATTTATACGCCTCCAAAAACATCAAACTTTTCCATCAACTTTGTCTCTTTTCACGCTTGTACGCAATGCCAACAACATATCCAACTCCTGATTTTACATTGGCGCATCTAATTCTAGACTTGAATTGTTTGATTATCATATCATACCGCTTTGTCCGGGAGGGGCTTCGTCTTGCCATTCCCAATATCCACATGCGACTCATTCTTAAAAGTACAAACACATAACTATTGTTAAAAGACAGAAAAAATAAAACTCTTTACAATTACATCGACGAGTACATGAGTCACCAACAAAAATTCCACTTGACTTCTGTTTAGCACACTTGCATAAAATTCTCTCTCCGGGTTGGTTGTAGTCGTTGAAATGAACGTTGCTTCGCAATCTCCCCACCAGTGCACCTCCTTCTCCGAGTGTAACACTAGAACTAGACATAGAACGAATACAAGATTGACGTATTAGACCGTTCGGCGCATTCCGTGAATGGTCGACAGAAGAAGAAGAATTTTAATTGAGAAGTTATCGAGGAAGAATGAAAGAATTTTATAATTAGAGGAGGACATTCATTACAGAGAAGGATTGAATAAATTAGGGTTCACAGTAAAAAGAGTTGAAGGGATCTAGAAGCGTTAAGGGTCGGTTGGGTATCTGGGTTGGGTCGGACCATTAAAAAAATTAACCGGATGGGTTTAAGCCTTGCCACGTGGCCTTTCCGTTAGAAAAGGGTAATCATCGTATAATTGATACTAACGTCCAGGGTGTTTGGATGTCCAATAGTATAACGGCAGCGACCTTTTTTAAGCGTATAGAATGAATGTAAAAGGGAGCTATCAGACCCTTTGCGCTTCTCAAAATTTACCAAGAGACATAATATTATGAGAAATCAAGTTGAAATAGAGTACGTGAAAGCTCGGCCACAACTTTCCTATTCACTGCATCTGACAGTAAGACATCAGCATCAACTATCAGACCACTCCATTCAATATCATCTTGAAGCAGCCCAATGCAAACAAATTTTCACTTTTTAAATACATTGCTGCACAATAATTTTTGAAATACAATTTGATTAGATTTGAAGTGAAAGTTCACCACTTCAACTTCTTAATAACTTTTTTTCCAAAGAAATTATATATAAGTACTTCTTTTAACTTATTTCAAATAATATTTTTTTTAATTTCAACCAAAAACAGTCTCAAACGTGCGTCCGAAAACTTAATTAATAATTTTTTTTGTACAAAAAGCACTTGCTTTAATGTTTTTAAAAAAAAAGGTAATAATAACTTGGTACGTCACTACTCGCTATGTATTATACTGCGAATCGGGTTGTTACACCGGAAATTATTGCGCTCTTAAACACATTGCAGTATCATTACTGCCAGAATATTAAAAAAATAATTTTTTTATAATGCAATCGCGGTTATAATATCTGCGAATCGCTTGAGATGCGCCCCAACTAAATATATTAACTTGACATACAATAATTCATACGTAAAAATGGCATGTATCATTACTTAACTGTAATCGACATATCTATTGAAAAATGTTTACACCAACTCGACTTCCTATTTATAGACGTCTCTCATTTTATAAAAATTCAATTCAACACTTAAACTTCAACATACGTTCTATACTTCTGCTTCTCCCTTATTCAATCATTTTTACCAATGTCTGAAAGCTTGCCAAAAAATTAAGGGTTTCACTGTATTGGGGGGGGGATGAGGTTGCTGGTGGAGAAGTAAACTCTGTTGAGTATAGCTTCACCTCCACAGTGTCATGTTAAATTGACGACTTAATATGAGAGTACAATACATTTGCTTATCTGATCTGTTACGTAAAAAAAAATCGAGTGAGCAAAGGCGTCTCGGTTAGCCTTAAAAGTAACCGGTAAATACCTTAATTCAGTGACTCCGCAGGGGTTTGCTTATTTATTCTGAGTTAACATCGAGATGATGAAAGACTCTTAGAGATTTTTAGCGGATTCCGGTACAGAATACAGGAATTTTATTGTTAATAAAATTATTAGAAATGTTACGTGAAGGTGCAGGACCTTCGCCAGTATATGAGGGCCGCTGCATAGCAGGGTTAACCCCCATCATCTGGTGGTTATTCGGAGAGCTTTGCGCGACAGATTGCCAGATGAAAGAACTTGCCTTGATGTTAAACTTCAACCACAGGCGAATGAGTAGCACAAAATAATTTTTCCAGCTTTATATAATCAACAAGCACGACTGGGTTAAACTTCAAGTTTTACTACGTTGTGTTATCGCATTTTTTTTCCCTATGTTTTCAATTGGATTTGTATTAATACTTCATATTTTTTTATTAGGGTATCGTCCGGATTTGAATTTTACAAGCTTATGACCCCCGCCCCTAGTGGATATGGCAGGCTCTGGAGTAATGGACCATGATGGTCCATCTTGGTAGTTATACCACATGAAAATATCCCATCAGAAACGTCAAGACAATACGATTTCTGTAAGTAAAGTGATATAGCGATATCTAAAGTTCTTTTCTGCAGTATCTGGCGTAACTTATGTATTTGTTCTTTTGTGCAGTGAAACAGCCTTTTAGAAGTCTGGCTCACACAGTTGCCCATCATCAACGACGTTTTTACTTCTGATTTGGCAGAATGCCAGAAGTCAGAGGATGATATGTTATGACAAACAATGTCGATGAGTCTGGGACTGCACGCACCCTGTCCTATTGATGGAGGCGGGCTGCATCGAGGAGGAGGAAGTTGAATGTTGAACTGAGCTGACAGGGGAGCTATGCTTCTCCACTCCCGCATAGGACCAAGTGCTGTATGAGTCCCACGTGCCATTTCATGAGGCGACAATACTTCCCTACCTTGATTAATTTGCCAAGCATGCCCTAACGTCGAATTGCCCTCACAATATGGTATGATGCATTGAATTACGTCCGTTGATGTCGGATGCAATCCTGCGAACCACTGTTTCTTACAAAGGGCATGTATTTCCCCCGATAAAGCATCGCCTAATTCAGCGCTATTAAAAATCTACAGTATAAAGCGTAGGTCTGAGATGACGTAAGTGAGGCAACTACGGAGAAATACAAGGCTGTATGCCGGTATGTGTTTATGGTTGTCCACTGGATGTGCGTATGCACAAAGAAGAAATCAGGTTAGGTGGAAACATGCGGAATTTCATTAGCGAGCACAGATGTGAACATGGACAATTCAATGAGATCATCTTCAAACTTGGATGTGGACTTGATTTTCCCTATGTTTGATTACCATTTTTGGAAGTGTCCATTGGGTTCAAGATTAAAGAGTTATTACAGCCGTCACACCAGGAGTTAGGTTGTCACTACAACAAAAAGAAGGCATCTCTCGGTCGCAAAGTGCCTTGAACTTATTTATGGCGACTGGATGTCTTTTTCAAATCTTCCCAGGTACAGCTGCACTCTGCAACACTTTAACCCCGGGACTGTTGT